TTCATTTATTATTGCTGATTGATTATGTTTTCTCTATTAAATCTTGTTATTGGTTTTGCTATTATGTGTGAGTAAATTCATAATCCGGGATCTTGCAAAGCCCGGATATGATTAATGCTTAGATTTAATCTTTAAATTCTCCAATAATATTTCCAATTGACATGCTTGATTGATTGTATTTATGCCAATACTAGATTAGGAATAATTGGTATGTTATCATCTTTTGAAATTTTTTTTTATCTTTTTATTGACAATAGAATTTTACTTATAGCAACACACCCCATATTCAGTGGCGGACCCAGGAATTTCCGACTGGTGAGTCACAATCGATAATCAAATATGTAAAAAATTTTTTTTACCAAACAACCAAATAATAGTACTAAAAAATACATCTAAATATTCAAACAGTACAAAATACAACCAAATGTTCATATAATACTACAAAAGACAATTAAATAGTAATGCAAACTTATTACAATATTTCTCGACGAGTTTTCATGTTTTGATATCGATTTATGATATCTTCCATGCTAACATTCAAAAACAAATCATTCTCCAAATAAGTAATTAAACAATCATTCAACATTTGATCTCCCATGCTATTTCGTAGTTTGTCTTTCACTTGCTTCATGCCAGAAACAACACCAACTTCAAAAGTAAATAGACCCTATCATGAGTTTCAGACAATCCCGTTTCAACCAATTTGATTGAAAGTTCACTAAGACCCTTCAAATTCCAAAACATTTCATCTCCTCTAACAGAAAAAATGTAACTCTCAAGTGTATGACCAAAGACTATTTCTGAACTTGGAAATTTATTAGGATAGAATTTTGCAACCTTAATCAATTTTTCCTTATCAAACTTAGGAAAAACGATCCACAGGACTCAAACAAGACATACACACAAGTAGTTCTTTAGTTATTTCGGGAAATCGATTTTCAAGTTCTTGCAATTGAAGATCAATGACACCAAAAAAAACTTCAACTAATAATTAACAAGCTAATAAACACCCTAAATAAACACTGACCACAATTCACATAATCACATGATCAAAAAGGTTCAAATTTCATCAAAAAGACAAAAACCCAACAACATTAACAAAAGGTTCAAAGTTTACCAAACAAACAACAACAAAATCAACCAAAGTTTAATAGAAATAACTAATTAGACTGAATTAAATTGAAGATTAGAATTTTAAACTAAAAATTAGAAATCAACTTACTAGCAAAATGAGAATAGGAGATTAGAATTTTGAAGAAGCGACGAAGCGAAGAGCGGTGAGCACAGAGGACAGAGCAGGCGAGCAGCAGCCAGTAGCACAGCCAGCACTGGAGGCGTGAGCAAACTAGCGAAGAGCACTGTCAAACATTTCAGAGACTTTGGGTTATTGCAACTTTTCCAAGTCGTCTCATAATCACAATTCACAAATTCACAATAACTGTCAAACTTTGAAGTTTCAAACGAGAAACATTTTGCCACTGTCATAATCACAAATTCACAATTTTACAAATTCACAAGAGCACTGTCAAACTGTTTCCAAGTCGTCTCATAATCACAATTCACAAATTCACAAGAGCACTGTCAAACTTTTCCAAGTCGTCTCATAATCACAATTCACAAATTCACAATTTTGCCACGACGGTGTTACAATGTTACTTGATAATTGACAATCCTTTAGATATTAAGTGCATCGTTTTTCTCAATTGAATTTTTTTAGTATATGAAATCCCTAATTCAGATAATGCAAAATTCTCTGAAATTGAGTTGATTATTGAAAAATTAGGGTTCAAATTTAGTATTACTAAATCATAACTAACAAGTAATATCAACAATTAAATAAATAATAAAAAAAAAAAGCCGAAAGATGAGTAGATGACTAACCTGAATTTATCTAGCTGTGCCATCGCTTCAGTTCAGCAAAAATGGTGAATTGCAGCTTTCTTCTTTCAGTGTTCAGCAAAAAAAGCAAGGGCCCAATCCATTTCAATAAAGGAAGATGCGAAGAACTGGCGAAGTGGGCTAGGGCTAACTCAGAAGTTAGATTTTTTTTTTTTTTTTTTTTAAAAAAAAAAAAAACTTAAAATTTTTTTTGGGCCCTGGTGAGTCATTTGACCCACCAGGCACAAGGCCCAGTCCGCCACTGCCCATATTATAATTAATATGAATATCCAATTAACAATAGAATTTTACTCCTATACGAATAACCACGTAATTACAATTATATATATGGGCATGTATCATTATTTTTTTTTAGTCTACTATTGATTTACCATTAAAGCTCTTCATATTCGATCGGTTGTAATATCTTTGTGTATGTTTGTGATTTTGTTAATGAAATCAAAAAGGTAAAAAACTATTAAAATTATGATACAACAAAAACTGTAATATACAAGGGGATCTTAAAGTGAATTCACATCAATGTTAGCAAGGTATTAGAACTTTACGAGTTTTTTCACTTAAAAAGCGTTTCAATAATTTTTTTTTATGCTAATCATATTATTATTATTACTATTTTGCATTATCAAAAGGGTTTATTTGACCATATTTAACATTCAAACCAAAAAGTTTATTCTTAAATTTTATCAACAATCCGAACATCGTCCGGCACAAAACTAGTCACTAATAAATAAAGTTGGTCTCGCAACCAGGCCACGAGACAGCAACAGTTGGCATTTCAGTTTTTCGCCTAGTGTCGAGCCACGTAGGCGACAAATGGATATTCACTACTAGAAATAGGCCGAATTCCAACGGACACGTATTTCCGTCGGAAAAAACAGAAATTCCGACAGATTATTATTCCGTAGGAATTCCGTAGAAAATTTTAGGCGGAAAATAAATCCGTAGGAAAATATAAGCTTTCCGACGGAATATTCCGTCGGAACATTAATCTTCCAACGGAAATAAAATCCATATTCCGTCGGAACATTAAACTTCCTACGGAATTTCCGACTGAATTAAAGTCCGTCGGAAATTATTAAAAAAAATAATTTTTTTTCACCAAACCCTAGCCCATAAAACGGATTCCCCCCTTACCCAAACCTTTTCCGCCTCTTTCTTTTTCTTATTCTCCTTCTCTTTCTCTCTCCTGTTCCTCTTTTCTCCTTCGTTCTCCTTCTCTTTCCTGTTCTTTCTCCTTCGTTCTCCGATCCTTCTCTTTCCTGTTCCTCTTACTCCTTTGATCTCCTTCTTTCTTCTGGTTTCTCCTTCGTTCTCCTTTTCTTTTTCATTTTTTTTCCTTGAATTTTCGACAAGAATGGATTATGTGTGGGCTGGTGGTCATCAACAAACAAATAATTATGGTGTTTATGGTTACATTCGACCATAAAAATTCCAGATCTAAAGTTTTTATGTTCGAATTTAACCATATAATCCCAATTTCGAGGTTTAGAGGTGGAATTGAAGGTATTTTTTTGTTTTCTTTCTATTAATTTGGTTTGTTTTTTTTTGGTGGTGTATGAATTGTGGTCGTGGTGGTGGTTGAATTGGAGGTAGAATTGAAGGTATGGTGGTCTTGGTAGGTATCGGTGGTGGTTGGTTGGGGAGGGTGGGGGAATGGCGAGGTTTCAGTGGTGGTTGGGGAGGGTGGGGAATGGTGGTTTTGGTGGTGGTTTGTAGATCTGGCGGCTAAGGTGGTGGGTCTAGTGGGTGGGGTCGGGTTAGGAGAGTATTTCAGGTTAGGTGGGTTAGGTGGGTCTGGTGGGTGGGTTTAGGTTAGTGGGTCTGGATTAGGAGGATCTGGGTGGGGTAAGGGTTAGGGGTAGGGCTGTTTTTTTTTTTTTTTAATTTTTTTTATTGACTTTTCCGACGGAAAACTCCGTCGGAATATAACTCATACCGACGGAAAATGTTCCGTCGGAACATTGCGACGGACTTCCCAATTAAGTCAAACTTGACTCTGACAGAACAAAATCCGTCGGAATGGACCTTTTCGACGGAATTTCCCTCGGAATATCACGAAATTCCTACAAAATGTAATGCGACGGTGCCTTCCGACGAAATTTCAGGTTTTTTCGAGGGATATTTTCCGTCGTTGATTGACTGTTTTCTAGTAGTGATTATTGTAACACATATGATGCTAAGGAAGAGAATTTTGGATAGATTTTTTAATGTTGTATAGAGTTTTATTATTGATATACTTCTAATATTTCACATATACAAAATTAATCAAAACTTTTAATAAAAATCCTATAACTCGGTTCTAATTCCATCATAAAATTTGTTTCAAAAAAACTTTAAAATAAGATCCATTTATAATATATTTAATTTATTTTTAAAAATAATAGATAATAAAAAAAATAAGTTTTAATTAGTAAAAATAATTTTAGTTTGGTAAAAATTAAATATTTTCAGTTCAGTAAAAATAATCTAAGTTCAATAAAAATAATTTCAAGTCTATAATAACCCAGATATCTGTTTACAAACAAAATTACAAAAGTACAATTATTATATGTCTGAATATCTAGCATTATCAAAAGGGATTATAGGACCGTTTTTAACATTCAGACCAAAAAATTTATCAACAACCTGGGCATCACCCAGACACAAAACTAGTATAAAGATAAATTTAAATACTTTTAGGTGCACCGTGCACCCGACCACCCGGGTGTATATAACAATTTCTACTTAATCAAAATCCACCATAATAAAAAATTTGTGATATTTTTTATACCCACCAAACCCTTTTCCATTTGTTCATCTTTAAAGCTGTTACATGACTTACATCATTGCCCAATTTCAATTACCTTATCATAATTATTTTAATTTTAAATTTTTTTTTGATGCGAATTTTAAATTAATATTACTCTGTATAAAATTTAATTATTATGTAAGGTAATTACATCGTGCCTTCGTATACTTGTATTATTTTTGGTAACGTGCAAATGTTTGTGCACATTAGATGATTCATTCATTATATATTTAATTTTATTTAAATTAGGTGGTTGGTTTTAATTGCCTTACCATGTCCGATCCATTTTTCTAGCACTCTAGAATAAAAGCACATGCTTGTCATGTGTGTGTTTTAGATAGAACCATTAAAAACTTACCAGATTCGAAATTGACACGTCAAATTCATAATTCGACTGATACGGACACAATAATTTTCCTCCCGATTTCAGAAAATTTTGAGATCGATTTTCATCACATCTGCCCTTGTAGCTCTATAAATACACACAAAAAATTTAAAATAAATCCGACCTGATTCGACCTCACTAATCCCGACTCACACATCCGAATTGACACCTCTGATTTAGATAAAGCCTATAAGGCCGAGGCTATAAACAACTCAGAATTGTAATGCTCATGCGCTGTGTCTCTCACTCACTCTCACTCTCAATCACACTTTGAGTAGAAAATTTTGGAAGTGACGTGAATCATGTTCCAGCTTAATTCATTTCCTATTATAGGTAATACGAAGTATTATGTTCATTGCTCTTTTTTGTTACTTTCGATTAAGTACAATGGGAATCTAATTGTTCATTGTTTTTATCCTTCCTTGATATTTTGACGGTTAATAAATTGTTTTTTCTAGTTTAATGAGATTTCATAAAAGGGTATAGTGTGCTTAAGAAAGAAATTGGTCGCCTTAATAATGCTTTTTAAAAAAAACCTTATACCGTGAACCCGTAATACCATTTCATAAAAGAAGTATAAAATTCAATCGGAAGCTTTTTGTAGTTAGAACTCTTTTGTTACTACAAGTTTGCATTTTTTTCATGTCTAACTTTAAAGCTTTGCATTTCTTTTTTGATAACAAATACTGATGTTATGACCTTAAATTATTATATTGCTAATCTAGTACTTCATAAAAATAAGTTGCTAGCTAGTATATACATAACAATAATATATATTCATACTATTATCTTTAATACTTGTATAATTAGCACTATACTTTGAGAGAGATTTATTGTAAAAATTGGCCATCAAAAAACAAATAAATCATGTTTACTACGAGTAGTTAGCTAATTATTAGACGTTGGATTGATAAATATATATATGATTCTAGCTATTATTTGTGATTTAGAACCATCATTTTTATTTTTAAAACTTTAGATTGAAGTCCGCAACGCCATCTGTGTTATTGAATACCTAGTTAGCATGTTCATATCTTTTAAAAGAGTTAATATTCCCTTAATTCAAAATGTAAGTTTTAATTTGAACTTACTTTGGTTTATTTTGCAATAAACTTTAGTTTAGTAGGTGATTTCGTATTTCTGATGACTTACATAATGCAGATATTAGTCCTTTGGTTGCAAAAGCTGATGATGCAAACATGGCTCAAGATGCTGGTGTTTGCGAAGTTGTTAGACAGTTGGATAAAGCTTGTAGAGAGCATGGGCTTTTCTACGTGGTACATACTCCATTAAATATTTAGCTGCAGTAGTCTTTTAAGAGTGTCATAAAGTTCATGAAACTTAACTTATTGTTGAAATATACGTAGTATGGAGTACTTATTTTTACGAAACTAAAATTATATTTTTATTGAATAACATTTTTTAAGGTGCAAATTAAAGAACAGGGCCTTAGACTACTTTATACGAAGTATTATTTCATTCTACTGATGAATGGTTCAATTTTTGATGATTAGAGAGGTCATGGCATCTCAGACTCCCATTTAAAGGAAGTAAGAGCTATCGTACGCGAGTTCTTCAATCTGCCTCTTGAAGAAAAAATTAAAATCAAGATGAGTGCAGCTACTGGATACAGGTTTAATGACATACATACTTAAGCTTTTTTTCAGTTTCATTGATGATCTTACTTGCTAATTTCATCATGTCAAGGTATAATATATCCACTTAGCTATTAATCGTGACTCGGGTCTTAAAATGCAGAGGATATGAAGAACTTGATAAAATTCATACCAATGGTCTTCCTGATGTGCAGGAAGCTATTGATGTAAGAATATATTTCGTACTCCCTTACTTTTTGATTGTCGAGTTATGTTGTTAGTTGAATACTTGAATGCAATGTGCTTAACTAAATATTAATTATCAAAGATTGTATAGGAGTTAATAAGTAATTCTGTGTTTTGTCTACTACTCCAGTTGCTACACTTCATCTGTACAATAATTGTCTTCAATTCTTGTTAGTACAGTATTACAAAGAATTTGCAGACGGAACGTATGGAGATAAGGGAAAACCAATGGAAGGACCTAACTTGTGGTATGTGGCGGCATTTTATGTACATACCTTGGTTTTGTTTTTGTTACATACATACATATAAAGTATATATATTTTCTTCAACAATTTCATTATGACTAGTGATAAAAAAAAAAAAAAAAAAAAAAAACTGAAATAATTCTAACCTCAGATTACATTTTTTTTTTTTTAAAGAAAGGTATGTATACAAAAGTTAGGATATAGTCTTCTCTCAAGACTAATCCACTAACCTTAGTTTACATGACTTTATATAGTGACAATAATCTGATGCAACATATATTCTCCTTTAAATATGCAGGCCATCTAATCCTCCTAACTTTCAAAATACGTTGAAGCAGTATATTGACGTTTCCACAGGCATGTTTTCTACCATTACCTATCCCATATAGGATGAATTTTTGTATATATATGGGCTCAACTTTGATTTAGACTCATTTGCTTTGTATATAATAAACAACAACTCGAACAGAACTTAGTAGAAAGATTATGAGAGGTATTGCATTGGCTTTGGGCGGGTCTGGCAACGAGTTTGAAGGTAATATTGCTGGCAATCCATTTTGGGTTGTACGATTGATAGGTTATCCTCCGGTCTCAAAGGGATCAGATGTCGAACCACAACGCATGGGATGGTACATAACCTAATCTTAGCTTCTTGTTGGATTCTTGAATTTCATCATTTTAGTTTTGCTAATTTAACTAACGTTTACCTTTTATTACTATTGATCTCGGACATAACCTTAGTGGAGCTCACACAGATTATGGTAAGTCTTCGTTTGAGGAAATTAAATGTAAATTATTGGCTTCTACTTCCTCTGTCCCTATATTTTTGTCCCAAAGCTATATTTTAGGGTCAAACTTTGAAGGTTTTGACCATAAATCACCTTTAATCTATAAAGAATTATATGTAGGGGAGGATCTTCATTGGGCTCATAAGGGTCTAGCCCCTATAATTTTTGTAAGATTTACTAGACATGCGTGATAAAAATATTATGTCAAGTGAGAGATCCAACAACTTTTTCAAGTGGGTTCAAAAATAAATGAAAATTATAATTCAATCTAATATAGATACTTTTACTACTTAATTTTAAAAAAATTAATATTTAAATTTATTTTTATTGATACCTTAAGTTTTTACGCTACATTTATTTCATAGCTCACAATTAATCAACTACAAATCAAAATTGGTAAGTATTTTTAAATTATATTATTTTGTACATATATTGTATATATATTATACATGTATCGTAATATGTTGTTTGTATATATTGCCGTTTTTGTAAATTAAATTTTTAGTTCAAACTCGCATATTGTTTCCTTATTGTGATTAATTATTTAGTTATTATATTTTAATTGTATGTAACAAGCTTTTATAAGAGTTAAGTGGGGTCGATTGACTTCATTGCTTTAAACTTGACCTCGGTCAGATTATTGTTTTTTGTTTATAGTTATGTATCTATGATTTTAATTAGAACTTATTAAAATTCAAAACTTGGCCCCCACACCTTTTAGTCTAAGATCCGCCACTTAATATCATGTGTGGTTTTGTTAGATTCATTTCATTGTATTTATCCTTAATATCACATTTTTATAATTATTATGTGTATGAAAATAAAAATATACGAAGTATGAGTATGTTCTAAGACTAGTCTTGAACTCCGTGAAAAATCAAATGGGTCAAATAAAATAGGCAGAGAGGGATTATGTGACAACATTGATTTCATAATGCTCTTGATCGACAGGTCTTTTAGGATTGGTTAATCAAGATGAAAGTGTATCAGCTATAGAGGTATATATTTTCATTATACTTCATGAAGTTTTTTTGTGTAAGAATCAAACTAGTAAAATCATAGCTTATACAATATAAGTCGGTATTTTGTTTGATTATTAGTTATTTTTTACAAAATTAACATCAAATGTTGTTCAAGGTTTTGAACAATTCTGGAGAGTGGATCTCTGCTCCTCCAATTCCTGGCGCAACTATTTGCATTCTTGGTGATATGCTAAAGGTGCTTGACCATCTAATCTATTCATCAAAATTAAAGCCTAAAATTGAAATAGATCTCACTTATAAAAATAAAAAAAATTCTACTTCCATCAAAGTTGTTGAGTAATAAGTTTGAATAATTTGTAGATTTTGTCCAATGGTTTGTACAATCCTGCTCTTCATCGGATCATCAATGCGTCCCCAAAATATCGTATTAGTGCAGTTTACTTCTACGAGGTTAGCCTCTATTTGATCATCTAATGAAAATTGAGACTCTTTAACTCAATGTTTAATTTACTATGTGTAAAAGTTATTGTTTTCATAGAAAATACAATAAGAGACATTTATGTTGAATGGACAGACTAATTATGATGAAGTTATTGAGCCCTTGGACATCTGCGTACAAAAAAGTGGTGGAAAAAAGGAACTTGGCACAGCTGTTTATGGAGACTATCTTGTTGCTAAATTGAAAAAGGCCTATCCATTTTAACATTACTTAATTACAAGACTAATGTAAAATCATCAAAGGTTGTTTTAATTTATTTACGTCTAGGCAAGAGTTTTTAGGCTGCATTGGCTTACTAAGATAGCAATTAGCCGGTCATTAATTACAATCTTGTCTTCTATCATACGCTTAATTGTTTTATTAGTTAATAAGCCCGTGGTTTTATCATTATTCTTCATATTATGGTGCATGTTATAATCTGAGACTGTTTGGTTCCAATGGACAAATATTATTATGCTTTTCTATTTACTACTACTAGATAAATAAGAGGTGTCTTACCTTATGACTTGTTTAGTTTACTTTATTTTTGTTTATTTGTTATGATCTAAACTTATCTAATTTGATATTATATGATATTCTGATATAAGTTAATTTGATTTAGTCTGATTTGACCAAAAATATACTTTGTGAATTTTATTGGAAGTGACATTCAAACCTTTGTGCATACATCATCCTCCACTTAAGTTGTAAATACTAAAACAACACCACGTCACTTATCTCCGGTTCCCCTTCACAACACCATGAGTATTTTCTTTGTAATTTCGTTCGTTACCATTTTACTGGCCTCGTAACATTTCATCGGATGCATGGTGAGTAAACTCTAAAACCTCCCACCCAGCCCATTTTCTTTCCCCATTCTCGGCCACCTCCACCACCTCAAAGACCCACTTCATCTAACCTTGCCCAAAATCTCCCATAAAGCAGTGTCTTTTGTGTGCAGCTGACCATACCATGTGGCCGCTTGTAAAATAATAAATTAATTCCTGTAATATATTTGCATAAAGAAAACACTAATAAAAAGGAAAAAAACACTATCAAATTTGATTTTGGTAGATTCATCTCATTGTGTACTTTTTAAATATGTAATTTTAAAAAATGCAATTAATATTATTTAGCAATAAGTAAACGAGAAATAAAAATTATGATATGGTCTAATCTGAATATTCACGACCTATCTTTAATATGAATACATACTCTCTCTCCATATTTTAATTAATACTCCCGTTATCTCATAATAACTGACACAACCAAGCTTTGCACACATCCTGGTACACTAGTTTGACCTTATTATTATTCTATAATTTAAAAATAATGAAAATTATTACAAAGTTTTATATTATTAAACTTTATATTAATACATACTTCATCTAACAATATATTTTATGATAAAATAAAATTTTGTTATTTTAGTAAAAAATTAGGTCAAATCTAATATATTAATAGTGTTATACTTTCCATTTATGACTGTATTTTAATCAGTGATCCATTGATCCACTCTTCATTGCCAATTAAAAAATAATTCTCATTGCCAGAATGCCGTACATTGTGGTGATTATCTAATAAAGAAAATTTATTTACTTTTTTGCCTTTTCTATAACATGCATTTGTTTCCGCACATTATACGAGTATTCTTTAATGTACTAAATTGCCTCTTTAGATATTGCCAAAATTGTACTCCGTATATGTATTGCAGAATATTTGGACAGACAAATTGCCTTAAATATTACTATGGAGTATTATATATATGCTCAGTTTGACCGTATTTTATCATTTATACTGAAAAAAATAAAAAATAAACATGTGAGACTTTATCTAAATCTTCTCAACAAATCATGTCATGATATTTATTTGTTATAATATTGATTTATTATGAAATGAAGATATTATTGATTAGACTTATGTATTAGCAAGCGTAATAAATTAAACAAATTAAGTATTACCTCTGTTTCAAAGCTGCAAATATTATGAAACAAATGTAGTGTAAAACAATGGAGGAATTGAGGAAGTATATATATATCTTCAGCTCTGAATAAAGACTTGTATACTTCGTAAATAGTTTTCGTTTTAGGATTTGATGTTATTTTAATACTGTAACATAAACTTACTTATTATATACCCACCTAGCACCTACATCAAGAATAACATTTTAGCAATGTCAAAAAATTAAAATGCACTTAACTAGGGTTGTTTGCTGTTGGTTATTGATGCGTATTTTTTACGGTTTATATTTAATGGAAGGATTTGAGTGATTTTAATGGTGGAAATTTGAAAGATAGTCTTAGAAGGCAACGACTTCTAAGTTTGATCTTAAGAACAACTAGTTTGAACCTTAACAAAATTCTCTTCAAGCAAAAGCTCAATAATCTCAACTTTTAATTCATAAAACATCCTATTAAAATAATTGACATACAACTAGTATATATAGGAAAAATAAATCTATCCTACTTGCTCCGCAAGCAAACTAGATAAAAGTCCTAATAATTAATTAATGAGCCAAGATAGTCCACTAACTAATTAAGACGGCTTTGGAAGCCCAAGGCTCCATAACTATTACTAAGAAAATAATAAAATTATTATTAAAACTCACTTGTACAACCCCTACTTTAAGAGTAAGGTAAAATCAAGAGAGTGCCTAAACAAAGCAATAAAGATAGTTATAAGAAAGGGGACTTGATTCACATCAGTTATTGACTTTTTTATTTTAGCTTTCTTTTATTTTAAAACATTAAAAAAATGGTGATTTTCACTTTGTTGTTTGTTTTCTAGTGGATAGTGATTTTAATAAGTTAGACTAATTTTTTTTTTTTAATTATTATTTATATAACATGTATCTTATGAATGTAATAATAAAAAAATAAAAATAAAAAATAAATAAAAACTGAATATTATAGTGATACCTAACACCTCTAGTTAATGTGATTTCACACTACGTACTCACCCCTGCCTCAAATAATAGTTTTGCTCGCCTTTTGCACATGTCATTAGGAAGGCGAATGGAAAAAATGATAGTGAGTAGTGAGTTTTGATAAAAGAAAATAGTGGGGTTTGACCAACTGAAAGTGTGTAAAAAGATGGATAAAAATATTATACTACGAGTCTACGACGGATAAAATCTTTAGGTGAAATGAGACTTATATGGAAGATGAAGGGAGTACAAAAGGCTTTAATACAATTGTAACACTCATAAGGGTATAAAGTTGATGTATTATACTTCTTATGTATTGGCTTAACAACATAGACGATTAGAGGTACATGTTGGAAGGATGACACTTTTTAGTGGATACTCCAACAATAGAAGTGTTATATATTGACCCAATCCAAACTAACCCAAAAAATACCAAGTTAAAATTTCAACTGGTACCATGACTCTAATTTAAAATATAATCGACTTGATCTCACCAAACTTGACCCATCACCCATAATACAGCTCTAAGAAGTTTCATGTTAGTGATTTGATTTTTTGCAAATAGACAATTTTTTTATATTTTTTTCCGTATGTATTCAAATCAAATCACAAGTTTGATTCGACCATGATAGATCTACTCCGTATTAAACTATAATTGAGGCAACTCCGATCGATCCGGTACGAGTAGTAGTGCCTGCCGAAACTAACGGGTGAAGAGATGAGAGAAAATGTAAGAAAAATGTTGAAGAAGGTGGTGGATGTGAAGGAAGCCAAGGAACAAATATCATTTGCACTGCCCATGATACTCACTAATGTGTTTTACAATCTGGTTCCATTGGTTTCGGTTATGTTTGCTGGTCATCTCGGTCAACTACAACTGGCTAGCTCTACTCTTGCCAATTCTTGGGCAACTGTCACCGGATTTTCTTTCATGGTTAGATTTCTCCTCTCTTTTGATTCTTGGATTTTAGATCTCTATCTTTAATTTTTGCAGAATTGAATGTGATTTATTTAATTTATACAGTTTTAATGATTATAGAGTAATAAGTCATGAAGAATTTTTTTACAATACGGAGTATATATTTTGGTAACTTTTATGGCTATTGACTTATTAACTTTTTTCACATAGTACTACTGTAGATGATAAAATGATGATTTTGTAATTTTTTTTTTGGTGTACCACCCGTTTCACCCTTCGAGTTAATTCGAATTCGGAGCTCAGTTTTGAGTGGTTAGGTCCCAGCTCCCTCCCAATTGTTGTTGTGGGAGATCGAACACGCGGTCCTCCTTACCAAGTGTAACCCCAATCACTACTACACCAACAACCAATTGGTATGATGATTTTGTAATTATTAAAGGTATTCTAGGATAGATAAGTGAAGCCGTCAAATTAGGTACACTTGTCAATTTACATTATTACATACAATTATATTTTTATAAAAAATTATTGAAAAATAATTAAATTATGAAATTTTATAGTATTTAATATCATTTTATCAATAATATTTTCAAAAATTAACGTTGTTAGAAACTATAGTCAAAATATATACTTCAAGTCAAAGTGTTTCAATTATTTTGAAACGAAATCTTAAGGCTTTTCAACGATAATTTTTCATTAATCTTCCAGTCTCACGGTGAGAGGGTCCTGTGGAAGACTAATTGTAATTAATCTTCCATTAGTCAAACCTTTTGTGATCATATATCTTGGGCAAAGCTAAGTTCAAATAAAAGTATATATCCATTTAATTTTTTTAATATATTTAATTTGGTAAAAATAATACTTTGTATGAAAATATTTTTATTGAAAAGATTTTTAAGCCCTAACAAAAGTGTACATGTATGTGTGCTTTGATGATTTAGTATAATAGAATAATTTATATGATTAAGAGTTAATTTTAATTAATTTGAACCACTTTTAAAAATGCTAGTTTTGCCACTATTGTAGATTGGCTTAAGTGGTGCACTAGAGACATTATGTGGGCAAGGATTTGGTGCAAACTTGTACAAAATGCTAGGGATATATCTTCAAGCATCATGTATGATCTCGATCATTTTCTCCATAATCATATCTACAATATGGTGGTTCACCGAACCTATATTGAATATACTACTCCATCAAAATTCGAACATTTCTAAAGAAGCAGCAGTTTACATGAGATTTCTAATACCAGGAATATTCGCATTTGGTCTTTTACAAAACATCTTAAGGTTCCTCCAAGCACAATCTGTGGTTTTACCCTTGGTTACATTCTCACTCGTTCCATTACTCTTACATTGTGTCCTTGGCTATTTCTTGGTTCATTTCACAACCCTTGGATATACGGGAGCAGCATTGGCCACCTCCTTGACGTTTTGGTTATCGCTTATAATTTTGGTCATATATGTGAGCATTGCTAAAAAATTCGAGCATACTTGGAGAGGGTTATCAAAGGAATCGTTTCACCATGTCTTCGTCTACTTGAAATTGGCATTACCTTCCGCTGCTATGGTTTGGTGAGTACATTATTGCTCCAATAATCCTGTGTTACGCATTGTGACAGGCGTACAATTAGATTTCTAGATGTTTTTATTTTGGACACTAATTTTAATTCTCAGTTTGGAGTATTGGGCATTTGAAATCTTGGTGTTGTTGGCTGGCCTCATGCCAAATTCTGAAACAACTACTTCACTCGTCGCAATCTGGTACAAATTGATTCTATTCTCTCTATCTTTTCTTCTTTTTTATGAAAGAATCGTTGCTATATATATGATATTTGCGCTCATCTCATCTATACAGTGTCAATACAGAAACAATAGCTTACATGGTTACTTACGGGCTGAGTGCTGCAGCAAGGTATGAATGCAAAAAATATAAATTCCTTAATTTCTCAAGTTTGAATTTTTAATTTATTATTATTATACAGTCTATCTTGTCCGTGTGACCACTTTTTAAATAATAAAGTAACGTCTATAATAGTGACTAGTAACTCCTGTAATACTGACAGAGTAATCCCTTTAACACTGACAGATTAACTCCTTTAACACTAACGAAGTAACCTCTATGATGACTGGCACACTATATAAGAATTTGTGTTATTATTATTATTATTATTATTATTATTATTATTATTATTATTATTACAATTCTTAACAATTACCATGATAGTACGAGAGTTTCTAACGAGCTTGGAGGCGAGAAAGTAAATCAAGCAAAGCATGCAATGAGAGTGACACTGAAGTTGTCGATTCTCCTAGCGGTTTTTATGGTTCTTGTTCTAGGCTTGGGACATGATATTTGGGCAGGCTTCTTTGGTGGCAATGCCAGTATAATCAAAGCATTTGCCTCCTTGACTCCTATGCTTTGTATTTCAATTTTTTTGGACTCGATTCAAGGCATACTATCAGGTCTTTAGATTCATTACACATTTTCTTCCTCTTAGATTTATCTCCTTCATTTATTTCATCCATGTTCTATGCTGTTTTTTGTTCACCAAACAGGGGTATGCAGGGGATGTGGTTGGCAGCATTTAGTCATGTACATTAACTTGGGGACATTCTACCTCATTGGTATGCCCGTTGCATACTTAATTGCCTTCAAGTTTCAGATGTATGTCAAGGTAATTATCATTTATTATTACATTTTTCCCTTTTGCAACTGCTTTTGTTTACTACTCACTCCCTATTTTTTTTTAAGTGAAATATTTCTCTTTTACACATATGTCAATACAATACTTTGATCAATAATAATATTTTTAATTATCAATAAGTTAAATTTATAATAATTGAATATTAATAAACTATTCATTAAGACGATTTCAATAAGTACCTACAATACTATATTATATTTATGAATCATAAACATTAGTCAAATTGGATTAATGGTATATAAAAAGTCAAAACGTTTCACTTAAAAAATACGGAGTGAGTACACATTAGAGGCAGAACGAAGATTAATGATTCGCCTCCATATCTTCTTTGTCACAAATCTGTGGTTTAGGGTCTTTGGATTGGTTTAATATGCGGCCTCGTCTTGCAATCTAGTTCACTTTTCCTGATTACTCGACTCCGGAAATGGACAACATTTGAGCTCTCAACTAGCGGCAATGAAAATTCAGCTCCATAAAATGCCTGTGGGATACGCAACTTATTAGCCAAACATAACTATAAATGATAGATTTTTTTTAGGGAATAGGAAAATTTATTTATGACTTATAAATTCCTTTTTTAAAAATAATTTACAAATATTATTATACATACATGGTGCATAGTTATATTTTACAGCAACTTTTTGGTGCAGCAGGTCACACCGTGTGACAGGAGTTACTTGAGTTATTTCGTTAGGGGTTACCCGAGTTATTCAGTCAAGGTTACTTGAGTTACTCGGTCAGGGGTTACTTGAGGGGTTTAGATAGAGGTTACTCGAGGGGTTCACGCGGTCAAGGGTTCCTCGGTCAGGGGTTACTTGAGTTAATCGGTCAAGGGTTACTCGAGTTACTCGGTTAGGGGTTACTCGAGTTACTCGGTTAGGGGTTACTCGGTCATGGATTACTCGAGTTACTCGGTCAGGGGTTACTCGAGTTACTCGGTTAGGGGTATATTTAAGGAGTTCGGTTAGGGGTTACTCGAGTAATTCAGTCAAGGGTTACTTGAGGGGTTACTCAGTCAGGGGTTACTCGGTCAGGAGTAACTCAAGTAACCCCTGACCGAGTAACTTGAGTAACCTCGACAACTTGAGTAACCCCTGTAACTCGAGTAATCTCGGCAACTCGAGTAACCCCTGATCAAGTAACTCGAGTAACCCCTGCCGCACAGTACAGCAGGCCGCATATAAAAAATAGTGAATATTTTACATTCATGTGTACTATCAACATGCATGTATCGTAACTATTTGTCAAATAAATGAAAAACATTCATGTAACCAATCTTATACTACATCCGTTTCAAATTATTTATAACGATTTGACATAAAATGTGAGTAAAAAATTTCTAATTGTTACAAATAATTTGAACTAAAGATAATAATAATTTTTAGAACAATTTTCAAATGGCTACAATAAAAAATATAGTCATTATATTAGATCAAATCTTAACCCTTCATTTATTTTTTCTGGTATAGACCATTGACTGAGAATTAAAGACGACTTTTTAAAATTGATTAAATTAATTAATAAAACGTTCATTTATATTGTATCTCCAATCTTTTCGATCTCATATTAATGCCGCAACTCGCAAGTTTCTTGATGATCTTACAATGTTCCTTCGATCCCTTTCCTTCTCATTTACTTTTATGGGGCAAAGCTTATAGTATAATATGCGCCATCGAAATTGTTATTCCGATCCAGAGTTTCAGTACCATATTCAATTTTTTATAAACTGCCAGAACGCTTATCTCCTTTGTATATTATTTTGGCATAATCTTTTAAAATCTAAACGAAGAAAGAAGGGTTCCAAAAGAGAGAGGATCATGGATCAAATTACTGAAGGATAAACTAAATCTAAGAAAGTGTTCTTTTTTTATTTATATATATATATTTTTTTTGTGTCAATTATCCTATTTAAAAAAAGAAAAAAAAAAAAATAGGCATCCAAATCAATGGTTTATATTAGTTAAAATAAATAAAAGGCTGGGATTTAATCTAATATAGCCATTCAAAAGTCATCCCTAATTTTAATAATACACAAATTACAAAAAATATGTTTTTTTTATAAACCACCTAATCCTAGTATATTTCTCAATTTGAAATACTGAGCTTAATGACCGTTCTAAGACCGGACCGGACCAAAGATTGAAAATTTGAATTTCAAGAACCCAAGACCGAACTGATTAGTTTCAATTAATGAAGAGGATGGAGCAAGCTTCAATTGCCAAGGAGATTAGCCGACGAGCAAGCAGTAGTACATGCCAGACGCAAGGAGGCAGTCGAGATCTAATTGCTGAATGACTTGCACCCACGGCCATTTAAGAGTGAAGACTTTGCACATACATCATCCGATCCTCCACTTAAGTTGTAAAATCTAAAACACCGCCACTTATCTCCAGTTCCTTCCACAATCCCTCACAAGTCACAACACCATGAGTATGTTTTTTCGTAATCTCATCAGAAACTCTACTCTGAAAGCCCTGTAGAGCATGATCAATCAACCACGGATCTGAAGAAGTAAACAAGTCCAGAAAATAAGACACAACCACTGCACCGATTGCTTCGTCCCCTTCATGACTCTCATCATTGTCATCCTTCAAAGAACGGTTCCCACCAACCCATTTTCCTATATTTATCATCTTTAAAGCTTTATTTTACCTCATTTTGCCCGTTTACAATTACCCTTATGTTAGGTCTTTTTTTTTTTGGTTTGGTAAGGAAAAGGACCCTATCGGATCGGAACCTCTTAAAGGTTCTTCCGATCCGGATTGGCGGACTAGACACTTTAGAAGTGGAGGAAGGGTAAGGTAATTCCCACCCCAAAGCCTCTAGTGGGGTTTACCTTACCATTAGACCAAACTTTATTGTTATTAATTATTTTAAACTATTTTGCTCCGAATAAAATTTATTATGATACATGATACTCCGTACTTTGTATATTCGTATACTCGTATTGGCTTATTTCGGTAACGTTTCAAACTTTGTGCACATTAGACAGCAATCATTCATTATGTATTTAATTGTATCTAAATTAGGTGCACCAAAAAAAAAAAAAAAAAAAAAAAAATTGTATCTAAATTAGGTGGTTGGTTTTAATTGCCTTACAATGTCGATTTTTCTAGCTCGCCTGAATAAATGCACATGCTTTTCATGTGTGTGTTGTGGATAAGGCCTATGAGGCTGATGACTATAAACAACTTAGCATTGTAATGCTCGTATACAATGAAAAATGGTGGTGCGCTCTCTCACTCACACTTTGATTGGAGAATTTTGCATCTGAAATCAATCATGAACTTCCAGCTTAATTCATTCCCTATTATAGGTAATACGGGGTATTATATTTATTGTTTTTTTGGTTACTTTATTTTAAGTACAAGGCTTTTCTTTTTGTTAGTTTGTTTTATCCTTCCTTGAGATTTTGATGGTCAATTAATTGTTTTCGTAGTTTACAGATTGTGTAGCCAATTCCAAATTATTTTGTGACTAAGATCATACTTTTGTTGTTATTGTTGTTGTATCATAAAAGGTTAAAGTGTTTACTCCTAGTACTTTAGAGAGTAAAGTCACCTTAACAATGATTAAAAAATTACCGTTATACTGTAATACCGTTTCAAAAATGATTTTATTAAATACTTCGTAATTTCGATCTAACTTAAAAACAATGCATTTTTTAATATTAAGAACCTCGATGTTATAACTTTAAATTTATTATATTGCTAAAATTGTACTCCATAAAAATATGTTGCTAGTATATATATTAAGATCAAGTTCACCAAGAGCTGCTATGTGATCTATGTTGTTTGGGTCCAATTTACTTCAATTGGGCCGGTCCATAAATGATTTAATTACAAAGCCCAAGGCTAAGGTTCAACTCTTCAAACCATGTCAAGTCAGTTAAGGCCAGATCTATGTGGCAAGCTCACTTGATTCACGACCCACTTATCTATTGAGAAAAGGTATAAAATCCTTCAATCCCCTCTCTCTCTAGAAATATACACATTGAGCCTCAAGCAAATAATATTCTTGCATAGATTTATCTGTTTAAACACTGTACTGACTTCAACATCGGAGGGGCTTTCCTCAGCAACACCTCCTAGGCCAGTTCACGTGTGTTTGTTGTGCAGGAAACCCTCGGCCCAGTCATCACTTGGACCGAGATCAGTCTTCAGCCCGCAGAAAATGACCTTGCTGAAGGTCCCATTGTTTTTACCCGAAACATATGTTACTAGATGGAAGCCCGTGCGATGCACGGTTTTTTCATCTAAGATTTTTAATTATTTGATTCATTGTATTTAATAATTTCAGACAAAATTACAAAAGTTTAATATTTTTTTTACTATAATTTATAATGAATTTATTAAATATAAATAAATTGTAAATATGATATTTTTCCGTTATATAAAATCTTTGTGACATGACAAATTTTTAATAATTTAAATCCTAAATCATTATTCATTGTTTTACCATATCTTTTATTTCGATAGAATCACCAACCTCGTCCACAACCAACCTACTACATCAATGGATAAAAATATTAGCCAAACTGAAATTGATATAAATTAAATCTTTATATTTATATAAAATAAATCAATATATTTACCAATAAATGAAAAATTGTTGCGATATAAAATCAAAACTATGCATTGGAATTATTTCATCATCTCTAAAAATAACCAAAGTTATCCATATATTAAGTATATAACATCTAATCCTATGCCATTATATAAACAAATAATTGTTAAGTATCCTAAATAAATACAATGTAACTAATAATAACAAATATAAATTTAAACAAAAGATTTTAAAAATTACTAGGACATTGATGACCTAAAAATAACACAAAATTACTAACACAAAATTCGCTTGATGGAGTATTGTATTGATACGAAATTTTATTTGCGTCATATGATGTGTTAGATCTACATGTAAAAAACATTTAGTAAATAAAGCATAAACATACAATCGTTGAGTATCCCAAATTAATACAATGTAAGTAATAATTAGAAATACTAATTTAAACACAAGATTTTAAAAATTAAGCTAAAAATTAACCAACCATTGATGACCAAAAATTAACACAAAATTAACACAAAATTCGCTTGATGGGTTTTTTTTATTGATACGAAATTTTGTTTGTGTCGTATGATATGTCAATTTATAATGGTAGGTATCACAAATTTTAATTTAATTATAATTAACGAAAAAATTGTATTTCTTATCATGAATACTATCAAAATTTATCTTATATGATAGATTTCAAACTTTATTATAAGCGTTTATCATTTAAATATTTTTAGTATATTTTTTTGGATTTTTTATACTCGTAGTATTGAATTAATAAATTTATCTTTTCTTATATTTTTACTTTGTTTTTTTTCAATAAAATAATTTAATTCGTGGATTATAATCTACGTGGCATTAAAATTTTAGATATATAAAATCTAATTTGTTACTTTTATCTAGGTGGCGATACACGGTTTTTTTTCATACATTAATCTCAAGAAAAGATATTTTCCTATAGACTCTAAGTTTATATATATATATATATATATATAATTATTTGATTTATTTTACTATTTAATAATTTTAGACGAAAAAAACAGATAATAATTTAATTAAAGTGTTATTACCTATTACAAAAGTATAATTTTTTTTTTAATGTAATTTATTATGCAACTTTATTTATTGTTGTGTTGTATTTTATTCGTTGTTGTTAGTTATATGACAACTGAATTTAATAATATGAATAATTGGTAAATATGATATCTTTCAAAAAAAAAAAAGTTGTAAATATGATATTTTATCGATTACATATTAAGTTAAAATCTTTAATGTGAAAAGATATTTTTTTTATTTTTTGAATAATTTAAATACTAAATCATTATTAGTTGTTTTTTAAAAAATAAAAATAATAGAAACATGTATACTATTTATCTTCTATTTCAATTGAATCACCTACTTTGTTCACACCCCTATCTCTTCCATCTAACAAAAGTGGATAAATAAAACATGTTAGCAAAAAAAAAAAATTATATAAAATTAACCGTTATAGTCTTATAAAATAAATCAATATATTTACCAGGAATGCTGTGAAATTGATCTAAAAATTGTAATTGTACAAAATCAAATCTATGCATTGGAATTTTTTCATCGTCCCTAATCGCCCGAACAAAAGTATTTTGGAAAATTGAATCATTATTTTGTTGTCACTAACAATGCGTGCAATATTGCTTCTTATTTGTAACGAATGAAAAGTATTTAATTGAGTAATTAATTTTGGACGAACTGTACAAAGTTGGCTTGAATTGAGGCATGAACGTAATCAAAATTAAGTTAATTTGATGACTTGATTAAGCTACCTAAATCACAAAAAATTTGTTCTAATCATAAAATTCATTAATATAAACTACAAAGGTTTATAAAAAAATTTAATAAATGTAAACAATCTATAAAGATATAATACCTTCTCATCCAATAGGACCATCAGGTGAGAAACTCGTACTTTGATTTTCCAATCATTTTTAGATTAAATCAGATCTACGCGTAAAAACAAAATTCAGTAAACAAAACATAAACATATAATCGTTAAGTATTCCAATTAAACACAATGTAAGCAATAATCACAAATATACATTTAAACATGGATTTTAAAAATTAAGCTAAGAATTACTCGGTCATTGATGACCAAAACTGACACAAAATTCACTTGATTTGGTTTTGTATTGATACAAAATTTTGTTGGTGTTGTAGGATGCGTCAATTTATAATGGTATGCATCACAAATTTTAATTTATTTATTATTAAGGAATAATTTTTATTTCTCATCATAAACACTATCAAGATTTATCCTAGATATATAAATCCTATATCTAAAGATGATTTTTTATAAATAATTTTTAGTTTTTTAAATAAATTAAATCCTAATAAATCACTATTTGTTGTTTTAACTACGTGGCAAAATTCTTAAATCTCATTCGTCACTTTTTCTTAGGTGGCGAGTGAATTTATTAATTCTATAATAAAATACAAATCTAATTTTTAATTGGTCGAAATAATACCTTTACTTATGTGGCGCGCCGAATGCTCTCGAAAAATGCCTACTTTATTTATATATATTAGATTTGAACTCCTGGTTAAAATGGTTGTATCACTTAAAAGATGTGTTAATATTCTTTTAATTCAAAACGAAAGTTTTAGTTTAAACTTACTTATTATATATGTCTGATAAAATATACTTCGTATAATACAGATATAAGTCCTTTGGTTGCAAAAGCTGATGATGCAAATATGGGTCAAGATGCTGGTGTACGCGAAGTTGTTAGACAGTTGGATAAAGCTTGTAGAGAGCATGGCCTTTTCTACTTGGTTAGTACTCCATTAAATATTTAGTTTTACTAGTCTCCACTTAATAAGTACTTCCTCTATTTCTTAATACTTGCAATACTTCTCTTTTCACGCTTGTCACTACACTATTTTACTCGTTAATATCTTCAATTACCAATGTTTAAAAATTATAAAGATTTGATATTATAAAAGTATAAATCGAGACGAGTACAACAAGATCCCACATAACTATATTTTTCCTAACCTATAAATCCTAGTCAAAGTGAGATATGTGAATATTGTTAAAGTTAAACTGTTGCAAGTAAAAAAAAATTAAAAAAAAAAACGGAGGAAGTATTTATTTTTCTTAACTTAAATTATTTTTGCCGAATGAAAATTATTTTTGAATTAAATTATTTTTATTGATTCACTGTGATATTTGTTGTTCAAAGTTGCTGAAGTTAATGAAACTTAACTTGTTTAGGTTGGAAAATACTAATTTCTACTAAACTAAAATTACTTTTATTGAATATCATTTTTAAGGTTCAAAAAACAGGGTCTTAGACTATACGGTTTTTTCACCATATATCCCTAAGTTTTTTGTTTATTTACCATATACCCCTGAACTTTTTAAATTCATCATATACCCAAAAGTTTTCACAAAGATACACCATATACCCTTAACGACTAACGATTGTTAACTTCGTTAGTCATTAGGGTTAATTATGACCCAAAATCACCCTAAATACATTCCCCTACCCCCGAAACCATCTACATTCCTTTTTCCCACCCCAAATTTCCTTTTTTCATCCTCAAAATCAATCATACGGATATGGTTATGGAGATTTGAAGTGGTTTCGGGGGTTGGAGAAAGAAGAGGAGTGGTTTCAGGGATGGGGGGAGATCTAAGGTGATTTCGATGCATAATTAACCAAATTATACTCATCTTGTTGTCATTAGGGGTATATGGTGAATTTTTGTAACAACTTAGGAGTATATGGTGGATTTGAAAATTTTCAGGGGTATATGGTGAATAAATTAAAAAATTCAGGGGTATATGGTAAAAAAAACCGTAGACTATATTATATGAAGTATTTAATACTCGAAGTGCTAAATTGTTCTATATTTGGTGATTAGAGAGGTCATGGCATCCCGGACTCTCATTTAAAGGAAGTAAAAGACGTCACACACAAGTTCTTTCATCTGCCTCTTGAAGTAAAAATTAAAATCAAGATGAATGCAGCTACTGGATACAGGTTTAATGACATACATACTTAGGGGGCGTTTGGTTGGGGGGTTTAAACAAAGGGAAAGGGAATGAGAGGGAATGAATCCCTTTGTTGTCGTTTGTTAGCCACAATCTTTCATTCCCTTTCCCCTTTTTTATTTTTGGGTTTACCCAAAATCATTCCACCCCCATTCCCCACCCCCCCCCCCTTACCTTTCCCATTCCCTTTCCCCAACCACCACCATACCCACAAGTTGCTCGCTGCACCTCGCCCGGATGCTCACCGACTTCGCTGCACCTCGCCGGAACTCGCTGCACCTCGTCGAATGCTCACCGGCCCTCCCTCGACCCTCGCCGCCCTTCGCCTCCCCTCCTCCCACCCGGAAATCCTTCCCCCACCCACGCATAACCGTTAAAACCCTCCCCTCCACCGGAACCAAAGGCCACACCTCACCGGATGTCCGCCTTAGTGTTTCGATTCTAGATCCATCGACTTGGCTAGGTTTCATTTCGTGGATGGTTCGTGGGGTTCCTTGGCTGGGTTTCAGTCGTGGTTTAGTGTTTCGATTCCAGATCCATCGGCGTGGCTAGGTTTCAGTCGTGGATGGTTCGTGGGGTTGCTTGGCTGGTTTTCAGTCGCGGTAGTTCGTGGGGAAGGCGTGGGTTTGGATTTGGGTTCGTGTGGGTCTGGGTGAGGTGCGCCGGTGGGGTGGCTGTTGGTTGGGCAGTTGGGTGGGGTGGCTGGAGAAGATATAAAATAATGAAGGAAGGGTGTTGTGGTGGTGTGATTCCCTGACTTTTTTTAAAAAACAAACAACATGCTTAATTATAAGAGTTTCATTCCATTCTCCTCTATTCCCTTTCTGCATTCCATTCCGACTCCCCTGTGCGAACCAAACGGCCCCTTAAGCTTTTTTTCAGTTTCATTGATGATCTTACTTGCTAATTTCATCATATCAGGTATAATATATCCACTTAGCTATTAATTGTGACTCGGGTCTTAAAATGCAGAGGATATGAAGAACTTGATAAAATTCATACCAATGGTCTTCCTGATGTGCAAGAAGCTATTGGTGTAAGTAAATGTTCCATATTCCCTCACTTTTGATTGTCGAGTTATGTTGTTTGGTCGAGAACAATGTGCTTAACTAAAGATTTTCAAAGATTGGATAGGAGTTCCGTTTTGTATTATTCTGTAAACTAGTAGCTACTTTATGTGTAGAATGATTGTCTTCAATTCTTGTTATTACAGTATTACAAAGAATTTGAAGACGGAAAGTATGGAGATAAGGGGAAACCAATGGAAGGACCTAACTTGTGGTATGTGGCAAAATATATACATATATATACCTTGGCTTCGTTCTTGTTACATACAAGTACATAGTATATTTGCTTAAACAACTTCATTATGACTAATGATAAAACTGAATTAACTATATACTTAGTTTACATGGCTCTATGTAATCATCTAATGCAACGTATACTTCTTTTAATGCAGGCCATCTAATACTCCTAACTTTAAAAAAGCGTTGAAGCGGTATTTTGATGTTTCCACAGGCATGTTTACTACCCCTATAGGATAAAAATTTGTATATACGTATTTGCTTGACTTTGATTTAAACTCGTTTGCTTTGTACATATAGCAGGGCTTTGTAGAAAGATTATGAGAGGTATTGCGTTGGCTTTGGGTGGATCAGGCAACGAGTTTGAAGGTAAGATTGCTGGCGATCCATTTTGGATTGTACGGTTGATAGGTTATCCTCCGATATCTAAGGGATCAAATGGCAAACCGCAACGCATGGGATGGTACATAACTTGATCTTAGCTTCTGGTTGGGTTCTTGAATTTCATTTTAGTTTTGCTAAATTGACTAACATTTACCTTCTACTACTATGATCTTGGACATAACCTTTAGTGGAGCTCACACAAATTATGGTAAGTCTTTGTTTGAGGAAATGTAAATTATTGGCTTCTATGTGACAGCATTGATTTCATAATACTCTTGCTTGATAGGTCTTTTAGGATTGGTCAATCAAGATGAAAGTATATCAGCTATAGAGGTATTTTTATTAGAATCGGTGATTTTTTTTTTTTTTTTTTGTAAACTAAATAAAATCATTGCTTAATATAATTTGATATTTTGTTTGATTATTAGTAGTTATTTGAAAGAAAAAATTAATAAATAACGTCAAATGCTGTTTGAAGGTTATGAACAATTCTGGAGAGTGGATCTCTGCTTCTCCCATTCCTAGCGCAACTATTTGCATTATTGGTGATATGCTAAAGGTCCTTAATCATCTATTCATTAATATTTAAGCCTAAAATTGAAATATAACTCATGAAAAAGTTTTTTACTTCCATCAATATTGTCGATTGCAGATTTTGTCCAATGGTTTGTACAATCCCGCTCTTCATCGGATTATCAACGCGTCCCCAAAATACTGTGTTAGTGCACTTTACTTCTATGAGGTTAGCCATCTAATAAAAATTATTGTTTACATAGTCTTTACACTAATGGGCAGACTAATGAGGAATTTTGTGGAGACTAATTATTATTTTCATAGTCTTTAGAGTAATGGGAACACTAATGAAGAATTTTGTGTTGAATGGGCAGACTAATTATGATGAACCTATTGAGCCCTTGGACATTTGCGTACAAAAAAGTGGTGGAAAAAAGAAACTTGGCACTGCTATTTATGGAGACTATCTTGTTGCTAAATTGAAAAAGGCCTATCCATTTTAACATACGGAGTACTTGTAGGGGTGGGACTTCGGTCTGGCGGTTCGGTTTGACCTCGGTTTGAATCGGTTTCGGTTTGGAGCGGTTCGGATTGAAACGGTTTAGTTTAGCTGGCGGGTCGGTTTGGTTCGGTTTGGGTTAGTCACGGCTCGGTTTGGTTTCGCTTTATTTCTTTGCGGTTTAAAATCGGTTTGGGTCATAAGCGGGTCGGTTTATAAACGATTCGGATTATGTCGGTTCAGTTTGATACGGGTCGGTTTAGGGGGCGGGTTTACCCGGGTCAATGTCAGTTCGATTACAAACGGTTTGGATCAAGCCGGTTTGGTTTGAAATGGGTCGGTTTAGGGGCGGGTTTACCCGGGTCAATATCGGTTCGGTTTATAAACGGTGCGAATCATGTCGGTTCAGTTTGAAATGGGCCGGTTTAGTGGAGGGTTTACACAGTTCAATTGGTTCGGTTTATGAACGGTTTGGATCATGTCGGTTCGGTTTATAAGCGGTTTGGGTCATGAATTCATGATTGTTTTAAAGATCGCGTCATGACCATGATTTAATGAGTTGATACTTATAATACGATAAATCAATAATTAAGAATGTACAAGTATTCAATTAGATTGATCAACAAGTGTTTTAAACTTTTAAGTTTTAATAATCAGATATGTAAATATGTTTATCGATTGTAGTACATACCAATAATTCAATGAGGCAATGATACTTATGATAGTATGATATGATACCAACCGTACATTCGTACGATATGATATACATAATAATTAATCTACAATTACATATACATTAACAATATCGTATTGAATCAATTTCCATTTCCAAACATTGCATTTCTTATAAATTATAACTTACACGAGATTAAATGGATTCGTAATTTAGTTTGTTACTTTATTTAGATTACTAACTCAAACAACTTAATAAGTTAAATGGGCGAAATTACGAAATCATGACCATGATTTAATGAGTTGATACTTATAATACGATAAATCGATAATTAAGAATGTACAAGTATTCAATTAGATTGATCAACAAGTGTTTTAAACTTTTAAGTTTTAATAATCAGATATGTAAATATGTTTATCAATTATAGTACATACCAATAATTCAATGAGGCAATGATACTTATGATAGTATGATAATGATACCAACCATACATTCGTACGATATGATATACATAATAATTAATCTATAATTACATATACATTAACAATATCGTATTGAATCAATTTCCATTTTCAAACATTGCATTTCTTATAAATTATAACATACACGAGATTAAATGGATTCGTTATTTAGTTTGTTACTTTATTTAGATTACTAACTCAAACAACTTAATAAGTTAAATGGCCGAAATCACGAAATCACTAATTAAAGTGGTGATGAAATCATTATGCAATACTAATGTACGAATAGTCAAATATACAACGGTTAGATTGAATGCCCATGAAAAACAATGGTTAGATTTTCATTACTTTATTAGTTATTAGTATTATTACTTATTAAGTTCTTATTAGTTTATTATATATACTGATATACAGTCACAGACTCACAGATATATATAATATACATATAGAGATGTCAGATATTGATGTGCATTAACTCATTAAGTCATTAACTATGTCGTATTGAATCAATTTCAATTTTGAAACATTTGCGTTTCTTACAATTTATAACTTATAAGTAATAAACTAATAATAATAATAATAGTAATAATAATAATAATAATAATAATAATAATAGTAATAATAATAATAATAATAGTAATAATAATAATTATTATAATAATATTATAATAATAGTTGTAGTAAACTAGTAATAATAATAATATTAACAAATAATTATACTAACAATAATAATAATAATAATAATAATAATAATCCCTCAAAATAATAATAATAATACATAATTAAAAAAAACGGTCAAAAAGACCAAGAAAAGCACAAAGAAAAATCTAGACCGTTAGATCTAGATTAATATTCTGGAATCTACAAAAAAAATGAACGGTTAGATGTTGAGATTGAATATGGACGGTTAGATCAACTGAACAAGTAAAACCTAAACCTAGAAAAAAAAACCCACTCTATCAGCCATTCAGCCGTTTTACACTTTTACTCACTCAGTCACTCTTCTATTCTCAATCTATCATAGTTTCTCTCTCTAACTTCTCAGTTTCTCACTCTTTCGTTCTGAAATTCTCAAGAATCTCAACTTCTCAACTTTTAAAAATCCTAATTAGGGTTTTTGTTTTCGTTTCATTTGTGTTTTGGATCTACAGTTTTGATTTCTCGCTTTACATTCTCGTTTTTTTGTTTTTTCAAATCTTCCTCTCCTTCAATTTGAAGGCTTCAAGCCATCAAAAGTTCAAAACTCAAGGTAATTTTTTGTTAATTTTTGTTGTTTTCGTTTTGATTTTTTTCGTTTTTGTTTCGGTTTGTTTATTTAGGGTTTTTGTTTTCGTTTCATTTTTGTTTTGGATCTAAGTTCTGATTTCTGACTTTTCCATTCTAGTTTTTTTTTTTTGTCAAAACTTCCTCTCCTTCAAGCCGTCAAACCTCAAGGTAATTTTTTGTTAATTTTTGTTGTTTTCGTTTTGATTTTTTTCGTTTTCGTTTCGATTTTTTACTTTTTTTATTTAGGGTTTTTGTTTTCGTTTCATTTTTTGTTTTGGATCTAAAGTTCTGATTTCTGACTTGTCCATTCTCGTTTTTTTTTTTTTTCAAATCTTCCTCTCCTTCAAGCCGTCAAACCTCAAGGTAATTTTTTTGTTAATTTTTTCGATTTTTTTCGTTTTCGTTTCGGTTTTTTTTTTATTTCAAGTTCTGATAATCTACATTCTTGATTTTTTCTTTTGGTCTCCAGTTCAGGCAGTTCTCCATCTCCTTCAAGCCGTCAAAGGTAATTACTTTTTCCTTTTCGTTTTTTTTTTAATACAGTTTTTCTGTTTTTGTATTTGATTATTGTTGTTGTTCTTGCTTGAATATAGTCGAAATATGCCTAAAATCTGTTGTTGATTGTATTTTTGTTTTTTACGGGAAAATGGTAGATTTGTGTTGTTTTGTTGTTTATTATGCTCGATTTAAAAGTAATGATGATGGGTTGTTCAGATTATGTGATTATTATTGTTGGAATACATGCATTGTTTATTTATTGGAATACTTGTGCAGTTGTGCTTCATGCTTTGGTCCATACTCCATAAAAAATGATGGTTGACCATACTGTCAATTGCATACTTGTAATAATTGGCATATTTTGTACTCAAGAATGAATTTATCCATTGAAATTCAATTGTGGGTCCTTATGCCTTACTGAAAAAAATGACTTACCAGGGAAATCATGCATGCTTAAAATGTATACTTGTATGATTGGCTTAAAGTTGGCTTAAAGTTAGTACTTAGAATGTACACATATGTCAGTCACATGAGACATTGCATGCTTAATTGCTCACTATTAGTAGAATCTGTCACTTAATTTGGTACTTATAAATGCTGTTTTTTTTTTTGTTTCAGTCATGTCTCGTGAGTATGATGAATTTGACTATGAGAGGCAATCAAATTTTGATACTGTTAGCTCTCAAGCTGCCTCTGTCCCGGATGATGATGCTAGTAATACCGGCATTATCAATCCTTCTGTTAATAAACGTCAAAGAACCGCAGGTATATGGAAGCATTACACTTTTTTTGTAAAGACGATAGGTAATGAAAAGGTAGATTATGCTCGTTGTAATTTGTGTGGCAAAGAATATAAAGCACCTGGTAAAGCGGGTACTTCAACTTGTAGAGCTCATATTAATGCATGTTTGGAAAAGCATGGTCTCCAGTCCGGTAACGAATCACAATTTGATCAAAAAACTTATTTACAAAAGTTTGCTAAAGCTATAATCTGCCATGCATATCCTTTAAATATTGTAGAGCATGAATATCTTAGGTAACTTCATGCATATTTGAATCCTAAGGTGCAGCATGTTTGTAGAAAAACTATGTTAAAGTATGTTATTGTTGAGCATGATAAATATAAATCCTTGTTGCATGAGTCTTTGGCTAATGTTTCTGGTAGAGTTAGCTTTACATGTGACTTGTGGACTGCATGTACTAACCGAGGCTATCTCACTTTGACTGCTCATTATGTTGATAACAGTTGGTCTCTTAGGTCTAAAATTTTAAATTTAAGATATTGTGGCCCTCCCCATACTGGTGTTGAGGTTGGAAAGTTTGTGTTTAAACTGATTAAAGAGTGGAACCTTCAAGGTAAGGCTTTTTCAATGACCGTTGATAATGCTCGTTCTATGGATGTTATGGTTGAATATTTGAAAAAAGAATTAATGCAATGCTCTCCTCTTCCTTGTAATGGGAAATTCTTTCATGTTCGATGTTCAGCTCATGTTTTAAATCTTATTGTTCAAAGAGGTTTAAAAGAAGTTCATGAAAGTGTTGAAAAATTGCGTGAGGTTGTTAAATATATTGATGCTTCTGATTCTAGATTAACTCAATTTGAGAATGCTTTGTCTGAGTTAGACTCTGCTTTTAATGGTAAGTTATGTCTCGATGTTGTGACTCGTTGGAATGCCACTTATACAATGCTCCGAAAAGCCTTAGAAGCTAAGGATGCCTTGATTCTATATACTAGTAGGTTTTTGGGTTTTTCTTATAGACTTGATGCTGATGAATGGGATTCCATTCAAAAAATTTGTGATTTCCTTCGGCCATTTAATGATATAACTGTGTTATTTTCTGGTACCGAATATCCCATTTCTAATTTGTATTTTGTTAGTGTTTTAAAAATTGAGTACGCTATTACTCAAGCCTTTAAAGACCCTAAACTTGCACCCATGGCAGCAGTTATGCTTGAGAAGTTTGAGAGTTATTGGGAGGATTATAGTTTGATACTTTCAGTTGTTATTGCTCTTGATCCTCGTTATAAGTTGTTTCGAGTGAGACATATGTTGAACTCGTTGTATAATGATGAGGCATGCGACGAAAAGATTATGATGATTAAGGAAGCTTTTTATGACCTTTATAAATTTTATTCTACTGCATCTAATACAAGCTGCAGAAATCCTGCCTCTTCAAACAAAGCTCAATCTGAAAATTCTAATCGCACGTTGAGATCTCAAAATATTTTCACGGTATTTATGTTATACAATATACTCAATATTAATGGTAGTCTTCTATTTTTATTTGTAATGTCATAATTTAACTTTTAATAAAAAATCTGTTTTAGTTGCATGAGGTTGATGACGAATGTGATGATTCAACTAGATGCCCTCTGGCTGATCTTGAGGCATATTTGAATGGACCTCGTTCGCGATTAATTCAAGGGGAACATTTTGACGTTCTCAAGTACTGGGAATCTCAAGCTTCTTCTCTTCCTATTTTAGCTAATATGGCAAGGGATGTTTTGGCCATTCCTATTACATCGGTGGCCTCTGAATCTTCTTTTAGTTTGGGTGGTCGTATTTTGAACAAATATAGGGGTAAACTTTTGCCAAAGAATGTTGAGGCATTGGTTACCACCCAAAATTGGTGTCGTGGTTATCAAGCGGATGTTGAGGAAGACGTCCTCCTTATTGGTAAAGAGATTAAAGCCGAAAGTGCTTCATCTGCATAACTGGTATTTGTGTCTCATTGTGGTTTATTTTATCTTGAAAAATCGTTGCCCTTGTCATTTATTTTCGGACTTGCTGGCAGCATTTTTCAAGACTTTTAAAATCGTTGCCCTTTTCATTTATGTTGAGACTTAAATAGTTAAATGTATTTTGGTACTTCCTGCAGCATTTCTCAAGTTTTTGTTAAAACAACCGTTGCTCAGTGATGTAAATCTGAGAGCAATTTTAAAAAACAAAAGCTATAATTTTGAAGTTGCTTGAACTTGTTATGAGCTGCTGCCTGCTGGTAGTGCTTTTGCCTTTTGGTTGTTGTCTCTGAGTTGTTATTGCCTATATTGTTGCCTGCATGAGCTGGTTCCTGCCTCCTGCCAGCTTGAGGTGCTGTGTTGCTGCCTTTTGTGTTATGAATTTATGATAAGTTTTGTTGCTGCTGTTTCTTATGCTTGCTGTTTTAATTTTTCTTGAATCATCGTTGCCCTTGTCATTTATGTTGAGACTTCAATGTATATGTACTTGCTGGCAGCATTTTTCAAGTTTTAAGTTAAAACAGTCATTGCTCAGTGATGATACGATAAACGTAAATCTGAGAGCAATTTCGAAAAACAAAAACAAGTTCCTGCTGAGTCCCTTCTGCTTATATTATTCCTTGCTTCTGATAAGTTGTTGATCTGTTATTGCGTGTGCTGGTTCCTGCTTGTTGATGCTATTTCCTCTACTCTTGGGTGTTGTGCTGCTGCTTCAAGATTCTGCTCCCAAATCATTCACATTCTCACTCCTCCCTTCATCTTATCATGTATCATTTTTTGCAACCCTAAACTTGATGATGTTTCAGTTGATAAATCTGAAATCTAATCTGGGTAGTAGTGATAGTAGTTTCATTATGTATTGGTATATGTATTGTGAATTTTAATTAATGAAAATGGTGACTTTTTTTAATTGCTTGTTGATATTACTCTAATTTTAATGTTATTTATCTGCTGGATTTGTGGTAATGTTATGAAATAATTGTGGCTACAGATTTGGGATGCGTCCGTATTTATTAAAATTCTTTTACTTAATATCTGGTTTAATTTAAGAAAAGCTAAAAAAATGTGTTTTATAAACATTTTAGTCCTCCCCTTTACAAAATACTTGTATAAGAAAGTTTTATAAAGTGATAATGTGAATGATTGTACGCCTTATTGACTAGTACAGTAATATTCTAATGCTTATGCCACTTGTGTAACGCAATCTCATACATCTGCAATCTTATGTTACCTTTGAGGCTTTGAGTGTTATTGGATGATCATGAATATCTTTATGAAGGAACAATGAAGATAATTTGGGTGGACTAGCATTATTAGTGGAATGAAAATGATACAAATGATATATCTTGTAATTAAAATAAATAAGTAATCTGAAACGATATTAATAATGTCGTTGGCCTAGATCTAGGTGATATAAACCTTTGTATAAACCTACGCCGTTTGATTAGATCTACATTTATTAACATTAATTGTATTTACTATTTAGCCATATAGGTTGTAAATAATTCAATTTGAATTAAGCAGTTTGTAATCGGATCAGTTTAAACAGGTTGCGATTCGAAAACAGTTCGATTTTAACGGTTTAACGGGTTATGGCAGTTCAGTTTAGACGGTTAGCGGATTATAACGGTTCGATTTATACGTGCGGTTTAAACGGTTTCGGTTCATAAACGGATCGGTTTAAACGGTTAGCGGGTTACAAATGGTTCGGTTTAAACGGTTTTTTTTTCGGTTTATAAACGGTTCGGGTCATTAACGGGTTTATAAACCTTTCGGTTCGGTTTCGTTTCGGTTCGGATTTGCGCAGTTTGGTTTGTTATCGGTTTACGGTCCGTAACGGGTCGACATTCAGCGGTTCAATTCGGTTTCGGTTTGATATTGAACGGTTCAGTTCGGTTTTCAGTTTATATTTATCGGTTTATAAACGGATCGGTCCGTGATGGTTCGGTTCAGTAACGGGCGGTTTCACGGTTCGGTTTGAAAAGTCCCACCCCTAAATACTTGGCTTCAATTTATTTACATCCAGACAAGAGTTTTATGTTGTACTCCGTACTTGTACAGTTGTACTACTTAGCTAGTTGAATAGCCAACTAGCCACGCGTACATTCTTGCTTTTATCGTATGTTTAATTGTTATTAATAAAAATAAGCCCATGGAAATACCAATATCCTCCAGGTTGTTGATTTTACATAGTGTTATAAATTGAGATTTTGGGTCCAATTAGACTTGACAATCCTGACCCGACTCAAAATAATCTGACCCTCGATCTGAAAATTGACCTAAAGTCATTGATCACAAAATGACCCAAACCCAAACTAAACCGACCTGACCTGTACCTGATCTGAAGTGGAGTTGATCTGAATATGACCTGATGCCCGAATTGACCCGACCCAAACTTGACCCAGCCCAAACTTGAAATGACCCAACCCGAATATTTATTGACCCGAACGACCCATTTGCCAAGTCTAGGTCCAATAGATATTACAGAATTATGCTTTTCTATTTACTAATAGTATAAAAGGTGTCTAACCTAAGTCAAGGACTCAAGGGTTGGAGAGTTGATACAAAAAAAATGTACTTCGTCAATTATTTCGTGTGTTAGGAGAGACATTCAAATCTTTAGTGTCATGAGTGAATTAGGATTATTGCTTAATTACTTAGATTAAGAGAAATCTAAGGGCGTCAAAAACCTAATCAAATAATTAAGAGTGAGGGATTGATAAGTTTTCTATCTGAATTCATATCAAAGACCAGGCATATATAGGGCGTCAAGACTCAAGAGGAGGGAAGTGTGTGAAAAAAAAGGGGAGAGGAAGTGATAGATGCATGTCAAGGTTTGTCATATGAGAAGAGGATATGAAAAGGATAGGTGTATACTTTGTATATATTATCTTATTTTATTTTAAGGAAAGGTAAAGGACCATAATAAGACCTTAACCCTCACAATTTTTCTTGTTCCGGTATTTGCAGCCTTGTGAGTCAGATCCTTTGAAAGTGAGTGGGAAGGATAAAGGATTCCCACCCTCAAAGTGGTCTCTATGCTACATTGCTACATAAATTTGGCCCCTAATTCCTTCAAAAAATTCTTCAAGGTCCGCAATTGTTCAGTTATAGGATTTATCAAGTGAGTTTCAGCATCCATTACCACAAACCAAGGAGATAAGCCATGGATCAACTTTCAAGTAGATGAGCGAGCAGTCGTACATACCAGGCGCAACAGCGCAAGGAGGCAGTCAAGATCTAGCCAATTAAGCCAAAGTATGACAAAATCTTGCCGCCATTGACTTGTGTGAGCCACCAACTCCCTCTTTAAAAAAATCTTGTGAAAACGGTCAAGTAAACCAAATACATCAAAATCAAAAATTTTGACGTTGTGGAAAAAAATGTCTTGGATACAAAGGATTTCCTAAAAAGAAAAAAGACAAAGTCCGTTAGAAGGCTGAAAAGTTACCAAAAGCAGAAGAATAGGAGAAGAAACAGTTGTCCTTAATTCAAGCAATTACCAGTTCAACTCACTGTAATAGTCGTATATACACTGAAACCAACTCCCATTAATTCAAACTTCCACACATAATAATTAATTCACAAAAAATCAATCAAATCTAGGAATTACTTTGTAATCTGTAAATTATCGATTAAACAAGATTAAAAACTCGACTATTTGCTGACTTGCACCCACGGCCATTTAAGAGTGAAGACTTTGTACATACATCATCTTCCACTTAAGTTGTAAATTCTAATACACCACCACTTATCTCCAGTTCCTTCCACAATCCCTCACAAGTCACAACACCATGAGTATTTTTTTCGTAATCTCATCCGTTACCATTTTACTAGCCTCTTGGCTTTTCATCGGATGCATGGTGAGCAAATTCCGAAACCTCCCACCCAGCCCATTTTCTTTCCCCATTCTCGGCCACCTTCATCACCTCAAAGACCCACTTCATCTAACCTTGTCCAAAATCTCTCATAAGGTGGGGCCAATCACTCTCCTCCACTTCGGACAACGGAGAGTCCTTCTTGTCAGTTCGCCATCAGGGGCAGAGGAATGTCTGCGTCAAAATGATGTTATATTTGCCAATCGCCCACGTCTTTTGACTGGTGATATATTTGGCTACAACTGCAAAACTTTGATATGGGCACCTTACGGAAATTTGTGGCGGAATCTCCGGCGAATCTCCTCTGTCCAGATTTTCTCTCTCCATTCAATGCAGCTCTCCTCAGGAATACGTTCAGAGGAGGTGAAGTCCCTGATGCGTCGGATCAGTACAGAATCCGAGAGAGATAATCAAGTGGTGGATATTGGGGAGGCTCTGTTTGAGATGACCCAGAAAATGATGATGAGAATTTTGGCAAAGGAAGGGTATAGAGGAGAAGGGAAAAGGTTTAGGGAGGTAGTAGAGGAGATAATGAGGATTGAAGGAAGACTCACCGTCGTTGACATGTTCCCATTTTTGAGGCTATTCGGGATGAAAAGGAGATATCAGGAGAAATTCAGGGGTTTGGCTGAAGAAAAGGAAAATTTTCTGAATGATTTGATGAAGAAAAACAAACTATCAGTTATAAGTTCAAGTTATGCTGGTTTAGATTTTTCGTCAAACAGATTGAAGAAGACACTAATTCAAGTTCTGCTCTTGTTACAGAAAACAGAGCCTGAGTTATACACAGATGAAATGATCAAAGGTCTTTTTCAGGTGAGTTCCATTCCCGTACTAGATTTTTTCTCATGACAAAAGCAGATTTTAAAATAAAATATAGTAATAATTTAATTAGCGGATATATATAATACAAAGGTATGCACAAAAAGCATTGGAAATTGCACAGCATCAACAGCTATCTTTCTTTCTATACTTGCTGGAGCAAAATTCCAGCTAATGCGTCATTAACCAGCCCAAATAGTCAAATCCTACATTTAACACTATAGAATTACTACAAATTACAAAAGGCACTAATAACCCCCCCACCCCACCCCACCCCGGGTGGTGAGCCCGATGAAGATCAACCCTGGCACCTCACCGGTAGCCAAAGGAGTGGAGTGAGACACTGCTCCAACTCCGTTTCCTTGACCATATGCCTTAGTACATTACTTAGATCTATGAAACAAAGAGAATATAGCAAAAGGCAACACGTATATTATACCCTACTAAGTATAGATAAATTCTTTGGATAACAGCTGAAATTGCTGATGAAACACTAGCAATATTGCAATCTCTCACTACAAACCTTTATAAAGTAAACTTGTCTATTTGGCACATCCAATCCATTTTTTTGCACTCTTTATGTGGTGCTAATACCACTTTCCAACAATATAAAAGACTAATTGTGAAATTTTTTCCATGGTGAGTTAGGTATTACTATTGGCGGGCACGGATACTTCAGCAGGGACTATTGAGTGGGCATTATCACTAATGCTCAACAATCCGCTAACTCTCAAGAAAGCACAACATGAGATTGCTACACAAATAGGATATGATCGACTTATTGAAGAATCAGACTTAACCCATCTTCCTTATCTACGTTGCATTATATATGAGACTCTAAGGCTATACCCTGCAGCTCCACTTCTGGTCCCTCATGAATCATCAGAGAAGTGCGTGGTTGGGGGTTATACTATTCCACATGGCACTATGCTATTGTTAAATGTTTGGGCCATACATAACAATCCAAAGTACTGGTCTCAGCCTGAGGAGTTCAGGCCCGAGAGGTTTGAAGGGGTGGAAAAGGATGAAGAGAAAATGAAGTATAAATTTATGCCTTTTGGGTTAGGAAGGAGAGCTTGCCCTGGAGAGGGCATGGCCATGCGAATGGTTGGGCTTACATTAGGATTGGTACTACAGTGTTTTGAGTGGGAAAGACCAGGTCCTGAATTGGTTGACATGAATGTCAAGAATGGGCTCAGTATGCCCAAAGCCAAACCACTTCAGGCCAAGTGCCAACCAAATAAAACCATGGCCCAGCTCATCGCACAAAATTAACAGAGGAGAGATGATGTGAAATACTCTATATATGAATATGTTTCTAATTGACTGGAATCATGAAAAAAAAAAATGCAATATCTTGTATGATAAAACATTTGTAAATAGGTTTCTTGGAACCAATTATTTAATTAGATACATCAAGCAATGTGAGAAAATCTAATGACTGTATTCTCATAGTGAACTTTTGTAAGCTAATTTTACACAAAAAAACATTTGAGCCTCCGTATTCTTCCTAGGCCACATTGTATAATAGAGATGAATTGGATTCTTACAAAAATAAATACGCACCTTGAACTTTTGCAACGGATTTGGATCATGTATTAGTACTGTCCTTCACATACAGAGGAATCTTAACATCTAGCTCCCGTAGACGATCCACCAAGCCATATAGGAACTCAAATGTAAGCCTAGATTGCGCATTGAGATCTTCTCTCACCTGGGGTTGCATCCGAAACCACTCCCCCAGCATCTTGTGCACGTGTGCTCGGACAATTCTCCAGGGCACAGGATACTTTTCACAAAGTTTCAGATATTCAACTAGCAGTTCTGCCTGGTCTATGCTTCCATCTTTACAGCTTTCTTCACCTTCATCTACCCATTCAGGGGTTCGAAAGCCAGCAAAGAGAGCTGGATTTTCGAGGAGAGCATCAGCTGAGAGTACCCCTTCTGCACCTGTTGCCTCCAAACAGCTGTGAACATCATCCAAGTGTCTAATGTTCCCATTGGCAAGAACTGGGATTCTGATTGCATTTCTGACCTCTCTAATCGCACTCCAGTCAGCCCGAATCTTCCTTTGGTCCTTCTGATCTCTAGTTCGACCATGAACAGCTAGAAGAGAACAGCCAGCTTCCTCCAACATCTTTGCATAGTTGATTGTATCCTGTAAATCTGGGAAGATTCTGATTTTGCAAGAAACAGGAACTTCGAGGTTTTGAGCCAGTTTTTCCACTAAAGATTTTACAAGAGGCAGCTTCTCCATCAAAAATGCTCCATAATTACCTCTTCGAGCAATACGCTGAGGACAGCTGAATAAAAAGCACATATTGATGTTAAATTACAAAAATTACGCTAATACATGTTAAGTCTCATAACTAACCTCTTTTAGAGCAGCAAAATTCCAATTATTTTTCAAATTGAGAGGCATTTAACACCCATAAAATGATATACTGAAGTTAAAATAAAGCTACAAGTACTACTTAAAAAGAACTGAGATAATCCTTTCATTGAAAAATAGTTACGTATAACCGCACAGAACACAAAATAATCATTCCTGCAGCAGTATAAGCCCAGCAGTGGTCAATCAATAATTCTTACCCCAAATTGATATCAACATAGTCACAAAACGGTTCCACCATTCGGGCTGCTTCAAGTAAAACATCTGGATCATTTGCACAGAACTGGACAAACAATGGGCGGTCCTCCTACATGTATACCCCAAATGTAAATTAGTTAAAGATTGTAAGTAAAATTTGAAAACAGTGACTAACGTAATCCCTCTGATATTTCAACAAATAAACTTTTTAAGAAGACTAAGAACTACCTGTCTATGATTGTGAATGGCTGGATGTATATGGTAGTCAATTTCATGAAGGGTAACTTCACTGACTAGAATGATAGGCAGCCTTTTTAGAAGGTATTAATGATGAAGTAATACATAGTACTTGTCAGATTTTATATGCTTCTAAAATTTCAAAGATGATCATAATAGTTTAATGCTTTTACCAATGACAAGAACAGCAGATAGAAGTATAGAAAATTGTCAACAACTTAAAAATAATTGACACGCACTGACGCACCATTGAGAAAATGCGACAATCATACAAATCTGACAACAAATAGGAGAGGAGTAACAGACCAACGCAGGAAAAGTTCATGCATATTACGCTAATACAGCAATAAGCTCGGTGAAACAAGTTCCAACTGCCAAATGTGAACAATCACAAGGCAACCCAAAACATGTTGATCTTCCTAGATAGGCAACATATAAACCAAAGTCCGGCAGCTAATCCGAAAGAAACAATGTGGATCAGCCAAGTACTGAAGACCTTTCCTTTACAGAAATTGAGACAACTAAGTTCTCAAAATCCTTTATACTTCGTATTACAATTGGCAAGTTACTCTATTTAATGATCTGCATAATTTTTCTTTTGAAACAATGTTCTGCATAATTTATTCACAAGAATTTCTTGCTTTAACACTGCAAAAAAAGGTTTTACATATCATCCTACAATAATCAACCATTTAGCAAATGCCAATTATAACAAAGCAGTAAAGCACCAATTATACAAATTAATCAAATTTCTAAATTTCACCAAGTAGTCTTTGCATCAAATTGAACTAGTATTTTCCACAAATCGCGTCATAAATTGCACAAATTTTAAATCATAAATTGAACCCAAAAAACCATATATAATCAACTATAAATTTCAACAATTCACTAAAACCCTAATTTCATAGAGAGAGAAAAACCCCAACCTGGCAAGTAGTGAACTCCGAAGCGCGATACTTCTCGGTCTCAGAGAAGATTCTAGAATGCAACATTGGAGTATAAGCAGCCTGAGCTCCATACTTGCGGCAAAGCATCCTAAACGGAAGTTCAGAGCAATCAACCATGGGAGCAACTATCAATTTAGGCCGGCCCAACTTCTTCCAATGGGACCAAGCCCGCTCTATCCGAGCTTCCCCGGTTAAGTACCCATTGGGCTGGCCCAAAGAGAGTCCTTTCCCCTCCACCTTATCTTCTCTCACCTCCGATAGTGTAGGACCGGAAGAGCAGAGGAGCTCGTCGTGGTTCTCTTCTTGGGCCGTTGATGGTAGTGGTGGTTGAGTTGTTAGAGAAGCCATGAATGAGAGCTTTGGAAGTTGAAGAAGGTGATGGTTATGGCGGAGGAGAGAGAATCTCATTAGCAGATCATTGCCGGCAGTTTCTGGTTACGGGGGAAAACAGCGGTTTATTCAGGATTTTTTTTAGGGAACTTTTAATTTTTGTAATTTTCTTATTGAGTGTTTTGAGCCCAATCATGTGTAAGAGCCATAAAAGGAAGCCCAACATTCATTATTTACCTCCAAGCCCAATCTTAAGATCTACTTACAAGTGCGGATAGACTCTGTTTGACTGTTTGTTCTCTTTTTAGTCATAACATTTTGACCTTAAGATATTCATGGTTGATATGGTCGTTTAACATGATATCAACAACCAACGTAACAAAGAGGTCACGAGTTTAAATCTCATCCATCTCTCCTTTCAAGTGGAAGCCCAACGGACTCTCATGTAAAGGAGAGTCTATAAACTGATTTGTTAGGTCGTACTCATTCTGTCCCAAAATCACTGACACAGTCAAACTTTGCACACACGTCAATGCACTAGTTTGACCTCATTTTTACATGAGTAAATATTAATAAAAATTATTGTTAAAAAAGTTATATAATGAAATTTTATATCAATACCTATAAAACAATATATTTTATGATAAAATATGTTATTATGTTAATTTTTTTTTTAAAAAAAAAAAAAAGGGTTAAAGCTAATATATAAATAGTGAAAAAAAAGTCTAACGTGTCAATTATTCTGGGATGGAGCGAGTGATAATTATTTCAAATCAATAATATCATTCAAGCGGATTCTTTTTCCTACTACTAGTTGATTTTGTTATATTCACTTGGAACTTTCTTTTTGTTACTTGTATGTATAGCAAATGCCAAGCATAGAAAGAAGATCAGCTCCCTGAGCCAATTCCAGAGTCCACGAAGAATCTTTAAAACTCCTCAAATTATTAAAGGAAATCATAATTTTAAAATAAAAGCAGTATGAATGAAGCTAATGGAACTTTAAGGGTAATCATTTGACAGCAAAATGGACATTATCTAAAGCCAAAGCAAAAGACATAAATCACATTCTTGAAAGCATCAATACTCTCCCTTTTTGACTTCCATCTGCCCTATGCATAATATGATGCACTTCATTTCTTCATACTCCAAATAATCATGGTTTTACCGTTAAGTTAGATTCCTGCTGGAGTAGGAGTATAGCTGTATAGGTGAGCAATAAGCTATGTAATTAGCATCATTTAAAACGTACCACTACAATGCCTCAATCGCCGTTTTAATACTTTGTTGTGCAAATTTGACTTGTTTCTATTAAATTATACAAATTGATCCGTGGATTAGAAATTATGCGTACTTAAATCCTATGTCTAATCTATGCCTTTAATTACTTGAATCAAAACAAAATCAACTTGAAAACCACAACAAATTTATAGAGTAATTATGGGTGAAATGTGTATGAAGCAACATTGTGAAAGAGGACATGAAAAATTGTCAACTCTAATTTAAGTGCTATGATACATATCAGCATATATATCTGTTAACATTTGATATAAATTGTAAATGTAGCATAACTTTCAAAGATTGCATTAATTTTAGCTTCAAAAGAAATTATTAAGTGATTATAATAGATGGAGAAGACAATTTTTAAGCGACAAAATCAAATTAAAGTGACTCAACGCACCAGAGTTAAATTGAATAAACAATTTCTTTCAAACAATGGTTTTATACTTTTATAACTTTGGGGATTTCGTTGATTTGGGATGAGTCGCATGACCATAGTTAGAACAATTCTTACTCATAGTCATAATCAAAATCACACATAGAAAACAGGTAAAGAATTGGTCAAACCACGTATTATATAAGTAGTCAATATTGTTGGTCTATTTTCAAGCTCACAAGTCACATTCTCACATCTTCCCTTCTTATAATGTAATTAAAACTAAATAAAATAGACTACAAGCTAAGTTAAGTACTAGTCAATATATAAACAAATACAATGTGCAAAAAAAAAAAAAAAAAAAAAAAAAACTAAATAAATATATATATATATCACAAGATGCCAACGAACCCTATTTTTGTTCACCTCTATCTTAAATTAGAATCTACCAAACCCACCATATTAATGTCTATATATTATACTTGCATTGAAGTTTCTCATGCATGCAAATGTGTACAAAAAAGAAGTAATCAATCAATTAAGTAAAGTATTACATACTTAATCTTAACCTAATCCACTATAATCTCCTTCGAGATGATAGCAAGATGAGTACTTCAGCTATGCTATAGACCAGAGCGTTTACTACCCATGCATGCATATATGTAATTATCATCCATTTTTTTGCTTGTTCAATTGATTGATAACTACTCCATAATAACTAAGCTAACAAATTCTGATCAAATGAATAATCTTCAAGAAGACTCGAGGATGAGGCTAGAGGTTTCGACGACAGAAAGAGAGTGGTTGTGCTCCCCTTCATAGGTTACCACCAACATATTTGGATCATCCAAAGCCCTCTCTACATGTTTCCTTGCTGGGCACCCTCTCACTGTACTGCACTTGTAGTATCCTCTGTTATTCGCAATAAAGTACAATTAATTAGCAACGATGCACATCAGGGTCACGATTTATTATGAACATAAAATGAAGTATTAAAGATAATTCAGTAAAACAATAATGGCTTTTTTAGGACTATGAGCTTTCTAAAGTAAACCACCTCATGAAAAACAATGGGGAACATAAAAGATAATTTTCAATATGAAACATCATAGCCCAAGGAAAATTGGATCGGAAGGACTTTAAACGCATATTCAAGAATAATTATACTAATATCTAAACAACCTTAACTTAGTCACTGCACAATTAAGGATAGGACTGGTTAACTAAATAACATCGATAAAAGAAGGTTAAATGACTCAAAACCATCCTTTGAGAATCACATCCCACATCTTTTGGTACAAGCTAAGTCGTGTGTCGAGATATCCAATTAAGAATCACAACCATGTGTTCGGAAAGGTAACAACTAAATAATTTTCAAACTAGCACATCTAAATCCCGTGATTATTAGTTTTGGATGGAGAGCGGGCGGAATCAGCACATGTTAATATGTTATACATGCATGGTGGGTCATAAGCCATTCAAAGTTGACTAAGCTAACCGATGAAATTAATCGAAAGTCAAGTGCAGTTACGACATTATGTCGAAGAGTGTTGAATAATCGATAATCAAGATGCATTGTAAACAAGTCAAAACAACCATTGTTAAAATTCAAAGCGTTTGTTTCTGTGAAAAGAAGGGTCAAACCCGTCATTATTCAGATGAGAAAGAATATTTGGTTGGTCAGACTTTCGTGTGTACTCCAAGCATAACATTCGCAGCCAAATTGGACTTTTTTTACAAGAGAAAACATATTTCTTCCTAAATAATTGCTCTAATTGATTGGAATAGTTGAAATTTATCAATCCCTTTCGGCCTTTTCTCTCTCTTTATGTAATGGTGTTTGTTTTTTTTGGGTTGATAACTTGATAAGGGTCCAAACCCTTTGTGGCTTTGTTACTCGCATTAAGAAAAGGTTGGACCAACAAAATAGACTAGCAGAAAAGAACTTGTGCATACCTATACTGAGCTATACTCTTCCGGTTTTAGATTAATATCCACAGAAAATATAGTAAGCTACAAGCCTACAAGTTAAGACACGTAAATTACATACTTAAGTACTCTGTGGTTAGGAATGACTAAAAATTTCTCAAGTGTACTACTCGTAGTCTCGTACTAGGACAGGTACCCGTATAATAAAATGGAACAAAACTACGAGTATAAAAGTGGTATGACCTTTAACAATGTCTTACAAACTTGAAATGCTATATTGATTAATTTGTTGGAAATGATTGTAGTATAAGTACACCTTTTAAGGTAAAGTTACATTGGATACCAATCACTAGACATTGCATTTTCTTTAGACTTTAGCTATTCTTCCCATCCAAAAAAATATTGTACCCCGTTAAAAAAAACATTATGTTTATGTTTGTTTATTGTAGTTTGACCAAAATTTATAGTCGAGCCCCTCGTCCATTATTGTCAAAGACGAACTTAGATCATTATTTATTTTCTTAAACTTACTTACTTCGAAGCACTCCATTTATTTTAAAATTAAAATAAAATTATAAGTCATTCTCATAGTATTAATGTGAGTACTTTGTATTTGCATAATTGCATAAGTCTCTCATAACATACTCGTAATTGACAATTAACAATTAACACATAGGACTATAGGAGTATGAGTGCAATTCAACATAAACAAAAATACGCGTTTCGTAATGAAAACCGTATATTATTATTCAAAGATATACGTTAAAAACAGTAAAAATAGCGGGAATATAATGGTCCGTACCTTGGATGTGGGGATCCTTTGATAGGTTTTTGACCATACTTTCTCCATGAGTAATCATCGGGTGGTATGTCTGCCATCTTCGCGCTTATTGCTGGTACTCTCACGATTCTCTTTTGCCTCATTTTCCTATTTCCACAAAATCCATTAATTAGTTGACTAATTACTGTATTTAACAAAAAAAAAAAAACTAAAATCTTTAATTTCGGAAAAGTAAATAAAAATGAGTTACCTCTTCTTAGAGCAGTGGCAACGACCAGAGGGCCCACCACACTTGCCATTCTCGGAAAAACACTTCCTAACCTTAAACGACGACGTATGAGAAAGAGGCGGTCTACCCACCGACGAAACCATCCCGGAATAATTCGTCATCTGAAACGACGTCGTTGTGTTGGTACTATTCGCAGCAGCAGCACAAGGAGGAGTATTAATTGTATGATGATTATTATTATTCATCAAAATATCCTGCTTATTATCCACGTCAGCAGTCAACGTTGACTTAACGGAGTTACCAGCCGAGTACGAGAAATTAATCGTAGCCGTCGGTGCTACTACCTTCGTCGCATAATCATAACCGTTCATCTTCATTCCCGGAGGAGGAACCTGCTGAAGTGGCTTTGGACATAAAACGACACCGTTTTGATGCGTTTGATGCTGTGGTTTCTGGTCAACAGCAACGGGTGCCCGACGAAACCTGGCGTGGCCCGTCCGAGCCCGACCCAGAAGTGAAATAACCTTCTTAAACCTGAAAACGGCGTCGTCTGCTACGGCTTGATAATTGGAATCATTCTCCATACTATTATTATTATTAGGAGGAGAGAGAAGATGAAGAAAATTATGAACACTTTGAAGACCAGCAGAAGTTTCATGAGCAATGGCTTCTTCCATTTGATGATGATTTGA